CAAAGCAGAGAAGGCAAAGCAACACAAACAGCTGCTCTCCCAGCATCCATGGCAGTGTTGCATACACCAACTAATCTGGGAGCAGCATGTGAATGATGCCCCCACATCAGCCATGCAAGGAAGGAGACAATCAAAGCACGGGGACAGGGTAACATCCCACGATGTGGCACCAGCCCATCATACATACAACAAACAACCTGCATGACATAAGGACACCAGAGCAGCATTCACTGTATCAGGAAAGCACTCTGGTGCAGGCATGCAAATATGCCCGATATTATTGTGGGCATTTGTATAATGATTGCCTCTATTTAAAAAGGGCCTGAAAACTCCCTAAAAGCCAAGGGAGAACCATGTGAATCCCCTATGCACCCCCTAGGTGGAAGGAAATTGAGTGAAGGTTCCCGCCCGAGTAAAACTCAACAAACGGCTGCAACAGGTCTCCCAATTCAGTCTATTAGCTTCACCTCTCTCTCAGTTTTCTGGCAGCACTTTCCCCGCCTATGCTGGCAAAGCAGTTCAGGAGGTGGACAGAAAAACAGACAGACTTGCAGACATGTGGGATATTATTACAGGAGACCAATACATTTGTGAGGACGGATTTCTTTCTGAAAATGCTGTCAAGTCAATATCATCCATGCAACCTTTCCTCCTCTCATTTTTGTGGCTCGCTGTTAAATACAAACATCAACATCACTTACCCATTTAGCTCATGCTTTGACTCTGATACAATCAGTGCTCCTGTCCCACCTCGTCACAAATGGGCTTGCTGCAGATTCAATCTATAAGAGTGCTGCACTCTGTTAAACATCTAACAGTCTGGGCAGGTGTTGTTGTTTTTTTAAAGGCTTTGTTGATGTAAAACAATATCTTCTCTTCTGGTGGCTAAGAAGAGGCAAAGCTCAGGGATGGAGTATACACACTGCATGCAAAAAGTCCCAGGTGCAGTCTTAGCATCTTGAGGTAAGGCTGGAAAAGACTCTCCTTGCAACCCTAGAGAGCTGCTACCACTTGGCGCGGAAAATATTGAGCTGGATGGCCCAGTGGTCTGACTTTGCCTCCTCCAGACTTTGAAAACTGAATACATTAATAGCACCCTCTCTTGAAAGTAAGTGCCCTTGAGCATCACACTGCTTCCTTCCCAGCAAGTGTACTTAAGATTGCAGAGTTGATATTATTTATTTATATCATATTTATAAAACACCTGCAATCAGCCAGGTGTTATCCATTACACAAAAATAAACAGTTTGTGCTCCAGTAGGCTCAAAAGGATGAGCAAAGTGGGTCAAAGGAGTTATATTTGTCTATATTTGTGCTGATCCAGCTTATTATTCTTATTCTTATTATTTAACAGTAACTCTAATATGCAACGAACCTCCCTTCCTCTTATAGGCTTATCCTATTCAATTCAGGGATAGAAACTATATTCTTCTTCACTTGCTTATAGAGTTGCTTTCCTCCATTGAAGTGAATGTGGCAGCCAGCATGGACAAGATCACATCTGGGGTTCTGTGTTTCTATCGGGCTGCAATATGTGTAAATTCAGAAGGCTTCTTAACTGCGTCAAGTGAAACCTTAAAGACCATTATTTAAAAGCCCATAAAAAGGAACAGTCTTGTATTCCCTCCCTCTTAGTTATCTTTTCAGAATGGATGGGATGGAATGATATGGATGTATTCCAGGGTTCCAGGTATAAAGAAAGAAAAGAAGTCTGACGCATAGCTACTTTTAAATTTCATTTATTTTGAAGTCCACGTATTTTGAACCTCCCTAACCAATCCAGTTATTTTAGTGCCACATTTCAAATCACTCTATTTTTTCCAATTTCTAAGAAACCAATTGTCACTTCCAGATTTCCTAGCCATGAGTTTAATACGCTCTGGGGCCATGAAGAAACTTTATGGAAATCTAGGTGAGCTACAAATTACAGTTCAGCTTCAGGGCACACAAGTTCTCTTTCGATGGGACTCCAGAGTATACAATATGTAGGTCTGCAAATCTCTACCCATCAGAATACATAACAGTAAAATGGAAGTATGGGAAAGTTGATAAGTCACTTTAGAAGCCCTGCTGGTTTTAAAGAATAACATTTCCTGCTCTGCCCAGTTATAGCCCATTCCAAAAATCAGCTCTATGGAAAATCTGGATTTCTTCCATTGCATGGTCAACCTTCTCTCTCCAAGATAATACTAACACTGTTTGATTATTTGTTGCATTTATATCTCATATTTTTCTCCAGGAGCTCCCGGTGGAACACATTGTTCTTCCCCTCCTCATTTAATTCCCACAACAACCCTGTGAGGGTTAGGCTGGGAGACAGTGAGTGGTCTAGGATCACCCATTGAGCTTCATGGTCAAGTGGGGATTTGAACCCTGGTCTCCCATGTCGTAGTCTGATACTCTAACCCCTACACCACACTATCTCTCCATTACTTAAGACTTATTTCCTTGCTTTACCCTGGAAAATAATTCTCATGGCAGCTCACAACATAAAATATAATAAAGTAATAAAACAGTTAAAACAATTAAATCCAAAATTCTCCTCGCTGGCCAGAGTGACTTTATACCTGCTATGTATATTCAGCAGTCTTATGGTGAATGATTGACTGACCATAACAAAAAGCAGTCATCTTCTAATATGGTTGATAGCTAGCAGTGGAATAAATCTGGAACGGACTACTTAACAGTGTTATTTATGGTGAGAACTCACAACCTTCCCATCTACCTCTAGTTTGCAACTGTGTGTGTAGACAGTAGTCAGTCAGGACCATCCTGTTGTGGTGGGCAATCAGAACAGAAGGTCCACTCACATGAACACTGGGGAAGTGGTGTTTGTGGCTTGGTGTGGCCATGGTGGATGGGCAACATAGGCTAGTGAGGGTCCCTCCTCCTTTGTCAGTTGCGCTGGCTCCTGGAACTCACCCGTTGGTTGTACTGCCAATCGCAGGACAGTCTAGGGACATGGCTTGGCCTGTTTAATCCCATTCTGTTGCCATGTGTCTTATTGCTACCCGTGTTGTATTCAGTCACCTTCTGCCCTTGGCTTCATGTATCCTTTGTCCACACAAAATGTCCTGCTGTATCAAACCAAAGGTATCTACTCCAGCATCCTGCTCAACACAGCGGCTAACGGGAAAGCTGTAAGCAGGCCATGAAGTCAATAGAGCTCTCCCAACAAATGGTGCTCAAAGGCTTATGCCCTATGCGGCCTAGGACCCTCGTACCTACGGGACCGCCTCTCCTGGTATGCCCCATGGAGGACCTTAAGGTCCATAAATAACAACCATAAATAACAACAATCTAGCCTCAAGGAGGTTAGATTGGTCTCAACTAGGGTCAGGGCCTTTTCAGCACAGGCCCTGACTTGGTGGAACACTCTGTCACAATAGACCAGGGCCCTGTGGGATTTGACATCTTTCTGCAGGGCCTGCAAGATGGAGCTGTTCCACCTGGCCTTCGGCTTAGACTCACTCTGACCCCTTGTATGGGATTTGGTATATAAACTTTCCCTTGGCTTTTTTGCTGGCCCCTGTAGGACCAGTTTGGATAGCTGGCTTGGGTGAATATCTGATGTTTCCTCCCTTTATGGTCTTGATTTATGGGCTACTACTAAAATGAGGCTGCATTTTAAGCTGTATTCTAAACTGTATTTTAATTAACTGTCCCCCCCACTTATGTTTTATTGTAATTTCTATTTGGTGTTAGCCGCCCTGAGCCCAGGGAGGGTGGGGTATAAATAAAAAAATATTATTATTATTATTAATTATTATTATTATATTCCTTCTGACCATGGAGGCTGCATATAGCCATCGTGATTAGGCGCCATTGATAGCTTAAAAAGTGGGGAGGAGGAATTAGACAGAATCATGGAGGATAAGGCTATCTAAGCTAATCTTGATCACCACATCTTGTGGTTGCAAATTCTATACATTAATTGTGCGCTGTGCAAATTACTTTTTGCCTGTCCTGACTCTTCTGCCAATCAGCTTCATTATGAGAAAGAAAGAAAAACTCTATATCTACACCCTGTGTAATTTTATGCACGAGACTGTAGGGTGTGAGATGCCATGTAATTTCATCACTGCTGTTTGTCAGAGCCTACAAATCTCTAGCCTTGGTCTAGACCAGCCTTTCCCCACCCTGGTATCCTCTGGATGTTGCTGGACTCCAGCTCCCATCAGTCCCAGTCAGGATGGCCAATGGTCAGAGATAAGAGGACTTGTGGTCTAACTCATCTGGAAGGGATCAGGTTGGGGAAGCCTGGTCTAGACACATTTTGGGTTGCACTCGGGCTTTATAGGATCAGGACTCTGATCTGAACTTGCTCCTTTGATACCGGATTCACAGAATCCAGCAGCAACAACAAAGTATAATTTAATTGTAAACTCGCTGGCATATTTAACTTGCAATCAAGCCTCTGTAAGTTTCTTCGAAGCACAAGGATATATCATTAAACTTTGATTTCCTCGAGAGAACTGAAAGTTACAAAAAGCGAAAGGAATAATATTTAATATGGAAACCAAGACACAGATCCAGCAACAAACAAAAGTCTTAAGCAACCTTTAAGCCCCATGGAAATATTTCCAAGACCTTTACACCAAGAAGGATGAGTCTTAAAACTCCAAACATAGCTGTCATTTTTCTTTTTCAGCTGCAGTGTAGCCTTTAGATATCTGAACAATTATTTACAGTCATCTCTCAGGAATTTCAAAAACAATTTTAGAAATACCTGCTACTCTTCCAATGATCTCAGTTGAGGGAGTAGTGCTGTTTTCTCTCTGTGGGTAATGAAACTTTAATGATATTTCCCAGCAGGGGCCTAGTTGAATCATGCAAAGAAGGGGAGAGGGATTCCCAACAGAAAGCTCTGAAATTAGAAAACTTTCAACACATTCTTGGTTCTATCATCTTTGTTAGCTACAAACCAATTTGTTTTAGCCAATTTTTAATCAATTTCCCCTTTGATTAGTTAATTTTAAACTTTTCAAACTTTTCTTTTTATATATATCGCTCTATATCTTCAGGGACACGGGTGGCACTGTGGGTTAAACCACAGAGCCTAGGACTTGCCGATCAGAAGGTTGGCAGTTCGAATCCCCGCAACGGTGTGAGCTCCCGTTGCTCGGTCCCTGCTCCTGCCAACCTAGCAGTTTGAAAGCACGTCAAAGTGCAAGTAGATAAATAGGTACCGCTCCAGCGGGAAGGTAAACGGTGTTTCCGTGCACTGCTCTGGTTCGCCAGAAGCAGCTTTGTCATGCTGGCCACATCACCCGGAAGCTGTATGCCAGCTCCCTCAGCCAATAAAGCAAGATGAGCACCGCAACCCCAGTGTCGGTCATGACTGGACCTAATGGTCCTTTTTACTATATCCTCAGTGCTCACCTCTTCCTCCTGGTGCCATCACTGCCCTTTCACATGCCCTCTCTGCTCAGTGGGGAGAAGAAGGGGAGCAGGTTGTTGCTCCTTCTTCAATAAGGACTCACTTGCTTGGAGGAGACAATGTAAGAGGCCGTGACAGCAAGGAGGATGACTAGTTCAGGGCCTCTAGTAACATGTGGTCTACAGAGGTGCCCAGTAATGCCAACACTGACACTGTCTGTCTGTCATAACAGCTTGTAAAGCTGTTTTGCCTCTGAGTAGATTCTTAGCAGGGGTGTGCATCAGATTTGGACAAATCCGGAATCCAAGGTTGAGTGTCTTGGAGGAATTTGGGGCCTGTCCAAGGTGAAGCAAAATTGTTACAAAACTGCATGAATCGAAGCAGCGATCCCTGAAGCACTTAGTGGTGCCTCAGTGATCCAGCCAATTTAAAAAATGCTGCAGATGAGTGTCTGCTAAAAGTGAAACTATGTCTCTAAGCTTATAGTATAAGGAAAATGCCATGGAGTTGAGGAAGAGCAGCGGGAGAGGGAGCCGCTTTGCAAAATTGAAACTTAGCTCCCTAGTTTAAGGAAAAGGCCAGGATCAGGAGGAGGAGCTCCCTACCTTGTAATCAGAAGAAATTGTTTTTAGCAGGGCTCTTCAATCCCATTGCTTGGGGAGAGGGAACAACTTTGCAAGAGTGAAATTTACATATCTAAACTCAAGGAAGATGCCAGGATGGAGAGGGCAGATGGCAGAGGGGAAGCTCCATGATAATGGGTCATTCCACTTTATAACCAGAGGGGATGATTTTGCCTGTAAAGTGAATCCCTTTTAGTTCTTTGCATGGGAGCTTTTACTGCTGCCACACAGCCCTGCTAAACAGCTGTTTGGAGAGAAGATTTATTGCAGAGGGCTCCCCACTTAAGTGCATTTTGTTTATGCCAACAGGGGACCGGAACATTGCCCCTGTGAAAGTGGGGAGTAGCCTGTAGTCAAAACCAAATCTTGTGGTTGGTGCATACTTCCAGTCCTTAGTATACTTCCCCTGCCGTCATAGCACTTTCCACTCCATCATATCTGTAAGCCATGGCCACCCCTTCTTATCTGCTGCCTTTGTGCTTTCTGCTGCAACCCTTTCCCCCTGTAGGTTTTGTGGCAAAGCTTTCCTTGCAGCAAGATAAAAAACGCTCTGGGCCTTGCCACTGAAGTAAAAAGCTTAACTGTAAAGAAAAAACTGGGTACCAATTTCCACAAACAGAGAGCTTACATGGCTAGGTGTATCCGGGTTAGCTGAATTAAAAATCAAAATCAAAACCACTGCTTCTCACTCACCCACTTTCAGTATTTAGGAACTTAAAGTCTGTGCACAGAGTGTTGGCTGAAACAGCTTTGGTTTGTACATTCAACTTGCTTTGGTGCACTGCAGATCAGTTAACTCTCCCCCTCTTTTCTGTATATGTTGGAGCAATGCCTATGCAGTACCTGATGTCTGCATATAGCACACAGCAGGGAATACCATCAGAGCAGTTGCTACATGGAGATCAACACTGAGAGCCAGAAGGGAAATTTATTAGGGCAGGTAAGCCTCAGTTTCCTCCCCTGCCCCACCTCATCCATTTTGTAGGAAGAAACGTCCATCAGGCTTCACCACCAACCATATTCATCTGGCATTTCCTGCTCCATGGGTCTATACAGAAATAATCTGGCTGCTGCCGCTATGTTCAAGACTTGGAACACATAGGCAAATGCAAGGAACTTTTCCGCACTGTGGATTAGGCGAAAAGCCAGAAAACAAACAGACATCATAGCACAGAGTAATGGCAGGTATTCTTAGAATATTTTGCTCTATGCCTTTTAGTGAAAATACTTTGAAATCTCTCCATCCTCTAGTAGTGGTTAGGAGACCACCAGCATGTTTAAGCAGCAGCAACAATGACAACAAGATACACTAAGACGTGTCTTACAAAGCAGTCCGTACATTTTAACTCTCCCAAAGCAGCTATCAGATGAAGCAGCTTGCATATCAACGGAGTGATTAATATTTCCAATATTTCAGTATTATATTCATCTTGATATCAGTCCTTTCCATCAGTGGCAGGTGGTGGGGTAGGACAGTGGTGGACCTCTGCCTGTGCATTTGCACAGTATTGACCCACCTGCCTCCCTGTCTCTCCTACTCTCCCTCCCGGTAAGCAGCAGCTATCCTACTGCTGGGAAAGTGTACTGCAATGAGTCCTATGCTGATTTGCTCCTGCATGGCTAGCAGGGCGAACGGATGGCTAATGCCCATCATTTTTGCACTGTGTTCTTGTACTGGTGTATTGAGCTAGGGATGAGGAAGCAGCATTTTCTGCTACTATTTTTCTGTTGCTATTTAATACTTTGGAGATGCCATTACGTAGATGCACAAATGGTACCATAACCATACCTCTCCTCCTTATAGGAGAGTCAGAGCAGTTCTGAGTCCTATTGTGTCCAAAGGGACAGATTCCTGTGCCCTGAGCATTCCATGCTTTGTCAAAGTAGCCACAAGGCCAGAAGGCACAGAATGTCAAACATTTCCACAGCTGTTAATTCCACTCACCGCAGGGATCTTCGGACCATTCTCTTTCACTGCAGTCACCTTCTCATCTCAAGCTTCATTGGTCCCTATCTGTGGCTAGAAGAGAGAAAGTATAAAGAAAGGTCAGGGGTTAAAAAAAAGGCAAATCCTTATTTGTCAGAAGAACACATGATCGTTGGGGGCTTCTTGATTGTGCTCTGCTCACTTTCATGAGCTTCTCAAGAGCAAATTTAAGGAAAGGGAGAAGAACTTTGTTTATGATTGGATACAAAGTGCTGTTGATTTACCTGAGCCATTGCTAAGGTTAGAAACAATTACAATTTTATTAGCACCATTAGTTCCTTCTGGGGGATTCTCCAAAGTGCCTTTGGCTAAATGGCCCCTGCCACAAATGTTTACATTGTCACTTTTCCATCAGGTTCTCAATCATGAGAAGTTACTGCAGAAAGAAATCAATGGCTGGAGTTGCAGCTGCCAGCTACAGAGCTTTGTACAATGCAAAATACTTGGCCTAAGCATGGGGGGTGGGGTGGGGCAAAGCTTGTTGTAGATAAGGTTCAAAATGGAGATGGGGAACCCATGCCTTCCACTTGCTGGACTACATCTAATGCCACCCCTGTCAAATGACTATTAGCCATGTAGGCCGAGTCTGAGGAGAATTGAGAGGAGTCACACAAATCTATTACGATATTCATTTCCACTGTCATGTGACATTTTCCATTCTGCTGTGTTTCATTTTGTGTCCATTGATGCAGAAATGCATGTATTTTTAATGTATTTTTACACAGCACAAAATAGACACCTATATCTCAACCATCCACAGATATCAATTACCTTCCCTACATGTTCTCTTTCAAAGTTAAGGACTTTCCAGAGGGGTAGCCCTGTTAGTCCTTTGAGGCAAAAACAATAAAGACCCTTAAAGACAAAGTTAATGAAGTGGCTAATGCCCTATTACCAAACTATCTATGGCTGGATGTCTACCTGTTCATGTCTACTCAGAAATAAGTTCCCTTGAACACAGTCTTTCTTCCAGGTAAGCAAAGCTGGGTGTCATGAACTAGCAGGACAACAGGAAGAGGATCACAACAAGGGGTGTAGCTGGGACTGGGACACACCGGGGCGAGCAGGGGAGAGGGAAGGAAGTACTCACAGGATGACAGGATGATGAAGGGATGGGGGACAGTGCACAGGACATGGAGCAGCATGACCCATCACCAGAGCCATAGGGGCCCCTGTCTCCACAGCAGGCTCTGAGGCATAGGGAGCAGCAGGAGGGGTACTCTAGGATGCTGAGGGTCCACAGCCCAGCTCCCAATCTGGCCAGGTGGGGCTTGCTAGCTCTGGGAGAATGAGTGTGATTCCTCAGCTGGAGTAGGCTTGGAACAGGTGAGGGTCACCTGCCTCATCAAGCCCAGATGCTGCAATCAGCATGCAAAGTACAAAAGGGAAGCAGAGCTGAGGTGCTGTGTCTGTTCAACTGCCTTTGTTGATGGGTCTTGATTTGTATACTGCTGGATCTCTATGGGGCTGTGCTTTGGGTTTGACTCTGGACTGTATCCCAACTGCTGGACTTCAGACTTGGCTACTTGGATTGATCCTGGACTGTGTTTCCAGACCCTTGGATTTGGCATACTGACTTGCTGCCAGGTAGGCCCCAGGGTTCAGGACATTAGGATTGCAGCAACTCTCACAACCTTGCTTTCACAGTTCAGTATAAACTTCTCATTCTAGCTCATTTCCTGAGGCATCAGGGAGGGACAGTCAAGAAAACTTCAGAGAGGAAAGGAAAGGCATTTTAAATTTAGTTTTGCTTTTAAAATGAAGATTTTGGGTGATGAAAAATGGGCAGTTGAAGTGGGTTCTTCCCACTTTAAGATGCTAAGACTTTAACTGAAGAGCAGTGATAAAATCTTAACTGCACTTACCTGGGAGTAAACCTCAAGGAATTCAATGGGATTTACTTCTGAGTAGATATAAGGAGTGAACTCTTAGTGCTTATAGGATTCCTTTGGCAACAAGCAACACTTCAGAAATAGGAAAAGCAAATAGCCAGCTCCATACATCAATGAATATGTAAATAACATATATTACAAAACAATTTATATCTATTTTTTTTGTATAATGTGTGCATGTTAAAAAAATTGTAGAGAATTAAGGTGAATGGCTTTCACAGCAAGGGTAGGGGTCAAATGGGTAGATGGAAGGAAATTGGTTTGAGTCCATTTTTAATGGATTCCTTTGACGTTCCCCTTCCCTCATGTCTTACGATGGGTGGACACAAACAGTGGTACTTATTTCACCTTTGTTATTATGTACTCTGGTTCAGCACTGCATGGGGTAAGTTTGGTATCAATTAACTACTTGCATAAGGATTCCTGTAGCCATTTCATTGATTGTAGTTGCTCTTCATCAAAATGGCAAAATAGCTGTGACTAGCTCTGTGATAAGTTTATCATACCGAAGTTTTTCTGCACAGTCATGTACCCAGATAACTGTGTGGTGAAACTATGTGCTTCCTTCTTTGGTGAGCCAGCTTTAATGTCTACTTTCAGGTTGTGGTTTGACTGTGTTTAACAATGCAATTTTTAAAGTGTTTTTGAATAACACTTTTGTTTCTGAAATGCAACTATGAAATTGCCACCAAAGAATAAGATTTCCTCAGGTTTTAGATTTTGAGGCGTGAATTCAGCTACTGAATTTTTCATGGTATTACTATGCTTGAGAGTTGTTTTCCAAGATACAGCACCATTTTGCACTTAGTGATTGCAAATTCCTGTAGGTTGGATGGAGCAGATGGACTGGAAAGCACATCTTAATTTGTATGATTGTATTGCATTGAATGCAGAAAGCCAGTGTACTTGCCGTTGGCAGTTTAGTATTTACCATATTTGGGCTGGGGAACCTTTTGACCTCCAGATGTTAAACTACAACTCCCATCACCCTGATCATTGGTGAGGGTGGCTGGCGTTGATGGGAAATGGAGTCCAACAACCTCGGGCGGCCCAGAGGTTCCCAAAATGGAAAGCCTAAAATTGATAAATGATTTCTGGCAAAGATGTTTTGTTATCACAGGATATCCTAGCAGACAGAAACTGATCTTTGAATAAAATAATTGATGATTATGCTCATCATTATTAAAACACAACTTTTCTGTCTGGGTAGTACATATGCATATGAATATATTATTGAAAAGAAATTAATAAAGGGAGGGGGCAGGAGAAAATATAAGCTTAATGTAATTAAAAAATAGCCTCAAAGTTCAACTCGAGGGTATTATTTAACCAGGGAAGCTGTATCTCAGAAGGACTTTAACTGCCCTGGCTTTTTGATCTTCATGCAGAATTAACTACGACTCATTAAAATTTCATGGCCTATAAACTACACCACTTCATCTTTGTACCGCCCAGATGAAATACCAAAGTGTGACCATGGCATTTAGCAATACAGTGGTCCCTCTGGTTATGAACTTAATTCGTTCCAAAGGTCTGTTCTTAACCTGAAACCGTTCTTAACCTGAGGTACCACTTTAGCTAATGGGGCCCTGCCGCTGCACGATTTCTGTTCTCATCCTGAGATAAAGATCTTAACCTGAGGTACTACTTCCAGGTTTGCGGAGTCTGTAACCCGAGGTGTTTGTAACCCAAGGTACCACTGTAAACTACTGGCGGGGTGGGTGGGAGGTAGAAATTTGTGATGGGTGTGTGTAGGGAAAGGCTATAGTGCAGAGGAGAAAGTAATTATGCCTAACATGTAAGATGGAATTAACAGTCTAAGGAATTGGAGAAAGGTCTGACAAGTAATTAAAGGAAGAAATATCTTTTCATAAATTATATGGGGTAATAAATGAATTCACTGATCAAGGCCTTATAGTCACAATGCACTATAATCCTGTACATGGATATTATAGTAGTGGGGCCCAGTATGGAGCTACATCTAAAAGTTCATACCCCTCAACTGCCCTGATTAAATTGGGACATCCTGTTTTTGGGCTCTGAACTCTCATGCAGGTCATGGGACTGTGCCGCCGATGTGCACAGAGAAGGCTCCTTCAGATTATTTCCCCATCATGGGGGGAGGGCAGAGCCAGAAGGGAATCTAAACAGTGGGGCTGATGCCAACAAATGGAATTACATGACAACTGAGCACCTGAAATGGGCTCCTGTCATGGTTGGAACTAGGTCAGAAGATCTTCAAAATGCTTTCCAACCTCACCACTCTTTCCCCTGTTCCGCAAGCCCAAGCTGAATATGTATCAAATGTGTCTCTTTAAAAAGCTGCCATGTTTATTTATGTACTTGTTAAACCAAAAGATTCAGCTACTGATGCTGATAAATGTAATCTCTAACCATCTTCAAAGGACCAGCCCAAGCTGTAAAAAATCATGGATGACATGCTAGCTTGCTTAAGCCCAGATGAATGAGAGATTTTGTACAAGGTGCTTTGCGATGAATTTTTCATGTTCAACAGCTAGTCTCTTGAGCTGGAGTTCTAGCTGTCAAATCAACCACTGGCATTCCATCTATGCCACTTAATAACCTGGAAGGGGACAGTAGCGGCATATTCAGCACAGAACCCATTGAAGTACAAATTACAAATCCACGGCATTGTGTGGCATTTAGAACATTTGTGTATGTAAGTCACACATAATCTATGATCAGTCTGAAAATAGTAAATGAGCTTGTCTCTCCGGTTGAAAAAGAATAGGGTATGGACTACCATAGCAAATTAGCAACTTGAAAACGGATGTATGTCCTCTGAGCACTGAAAGCTTTGAACTGGAACAGTTGAATATTACACCCCACTCTCAGGAGATTTAAAAGCAATTGCAGTACAAGAATAGCTGCTTATTAAGAAAGCTTTTAAAAAATGATGTTAATGGTCTATACTCCTGGGCTAAAACAATTACCAAGCTGTGATCTAACTAATAGCTTTTTATTAATTAAGATCCTTGAGCAGAATTTGCATGAATACGTCCTTCCTATCTTGCTAAACAAAAAGTTATAGGAAACGGTGCTTTCTAATCAGATGAAAAATAAGTTTGCCTAGATCCCTAAGAGTGCATTCAGAATATCTGCCTACACAGAACACTTGAACTCTGAATATGTAGAAATAAACCTAAAATTAGACAGAACATAAAATAATAAACACATCAAATGGCATTTCATTTGGCTCACATGCACCTCTCCAAGTCAAGTGCTGTTTTATTTACAAACTAGGCAACTGATGTATATTAAGATGGTAGCTGAATGATAAATGGATCCAAGGAATCACTTTATATTTTGAGAGTAATTACCTACTTACTCCCATGTGCCTACAAGTAAAGCAACTTTGAAGTCCATTTGTCAGGTAGCTAGCAAATGTACTCGCAGCCTAGCAAAGGGCTGTGTGACAGCGTCCCGATGATCATTCAGCAAGTTTTGTTTCTCTTTTTTTCTTAGAAAAAGAATAGGAAGAGAGCACACACACTGCCCCCCCATGTCTTAAGTAGTGGGAGATTCAATTGCTTCAACCTAGAACTCAATCTGTGTATCACTGAAACCTGAACTCATTCATTAAATTGCTTGTGGAAGTCTTTGCACTGAAATGTGTTTGAAGAGACTGTGGCCACACTGAGAATTGGGCATGCTCAGAAGAGTCTGCAGATTTGGGGCAATGACAACTTGGAATTGTTGATGAAGCGTGACACCTTGAATTGTGGACGAAATCTTGCAGTCAACATCTGCAAACTGAATCTGCGCAATTTATATCCCCTATTTTGTGAAATGGTAACAGCCTAGTTAAAAATAAGAATTTATTGACCAAATTGTATAACATCATACCACCAATCAATTCAATGAAAGCTGAAGGCAAGGTTAAAAAAATTCATCACCCATTGATGCATTTTTATATTCAGTTAATTAAGCCAAAGCAATCACAAAAAGATGGACTAACATGTATGCCATTCTCTTATCCCTAAGCAATTCTGGAACTTTCTGAGTAAATGGTCTGGTGAAAGCCTAAGAACAAATTTTATGTGGTTGTGGACAAGGTGCTTGGATAGGTCAAGTCGACCACTTGCGCTCTGGACACTTGTCCCCCTTGGCTGATAAAAGCTAGCAGGCAGGGGAGAGTTGGCTGGACCAGGCAGGTGATTAATGCCTCCTTGCAATATAAGGTTGTCCCTGCCTGCTTGAATGAGGTTGGGTAAGGTCTGTCTATCCAGCTATCTTTAACTGTTGATTTTTCAAATAAATATTTTCATAAAATGAATGTTTACCATATTTGGGAAGTCTTGAATACTTTTTAAAAATTGATATGTGAATATAAGATGTCAATATGATGATGTATGTCTGCGTTTGGACTGGCACAACCAAATTCGTTCATAAAAAATGGATAAATGCAATTTGAAAAGCCTTCTGTTGTCATGTTGAATTTTGATCTAGCACTTGCTGTCCAGGAGCTCTGGCTTGCTGTAATGCAAAGCATTTACCAAGCCAATTAATATTAGAAAACTCTGGCAAAGTTTCCAGTCAAGGTACTGCAGCAGCATTTGCTTCTTTCAGTTATTTTTAAATTATATATCAGTGAAATTAAATGCATTTCTAAACCCATTACTTGCAGTAATTAATGAATCATGAACTCCTTGAATATGGAATTTTTCTCTAGTGTATTAATCAAAGGACTGCTTCAAACATAAAATATCTGACCCACCCCTCTCAGATCAATATATTTCAGTTGGCTAGGACTGAATGGATCTTTCTGTTTAACACACACGCACACACGAAAGCTGGACAATGATACTGTGTTATTGTGCCTCTTTAAAGCGGATAACACTCGGGTGGAAAATCTTGGAGGGAATAAGTTGGAGCAAGTTTTAGCATTTGCTACATGAAGAAAAGTATTATGGGCAGATCAATTCAGTGGGAGTGCTGCTTTTATACTAAAGTTTGATTTAAAATGGCAATTTAAGTGAGCAATAGTTTGGAGCAGTAATGTTCACATTCATATGATCTACAGGGGAAAATTGGTTCTGGCAGGGTGAGCACCTTATTTCAGTTTCCAAAAGCAATCCGGTGCTAAAGTGGGGTGAAATACTATTAGCCTGAAACTTGAAATATACCCATCATATGCATGATATTGCAGTGTGTGTAGAATGGCTAATCCAGGGCACCATGTTCTGTTCACTATGATACTTGTGTGCAAATTGACTCGCTCTTGCAATGACTGGGAGAAAGCTCCTATTCCTCACAAGAGCTTATCTACAGACTAAAACAGGGGTCAGCAACCTTTTTCAGCCATGGGCCGGTCCACTGTCCCTCAGACCATGTGGTGGGCTGCACTATATTTTGAAATAAAATATGAACGAATTCCTATGCCCCACAAATAACCCAGAGATGCCTTTTAAATAAAAGGACACATTCTACTCATGTAAAAACATGCTGATTCCTGGACCGTCTGCGGGCTCGATTGAGAAGACGATTGGGCTGCATCTGGCCCCCGGGCCTTAGGTTGCCTACTCCTGGACTAAAATGCCCAGGAAACTTCCTGGGCACTGTGCCTATGGCGGCCTTAACACAGCATAAGTGGACAAGACTGGTGCTGTCTCTTCCCAATCTGCATCCTTGAAACACACCCAGCCACAGTCATGGGTTGTGAGGGTTTTTAAAAATCTATCCTCACACCTCTATAGGATGCTGAAGGTGGCTGTAATGGCCATGGAACAGTTCTAAGGGCATTGTGCTGAACTAGAAAGGGACTCTTTGTATTCCTGCTGATATTTGCTGGGTATAATGATTCTGGAAATGCCTTTTAATTCTCCCCAGTAATCTAGTTCAGAGTTATGATTGCAATTTGGAACCAATGATTCTCTAAAGAATCTTAGCTCTTTGTAATTGGACTGATGATTTAGTTCAGTTCCAGCGATTCTGGCAAGACTCTCGTTTCAAAGTGTGGTTCCAAGGCATGAGAGCA